AAGATGAATAAAAAATTTCTCTTACAGTATTAGTGGTTTGTATCAGATAGGGTAGATCTTGTATGCCACGCAAGTCAATTTGGTTTCTAAGAAGATTTAATGTTGTCAGTGTCTATTTTGAATAATAAAAATAAATGTAAGATATACAAGTAACGAATGTAACTTACTCGATTGTTTTGTAAACCAATAGCAAGAGCCTGTGCTCCATCGGTACTCACTGAAGTCCATTGAAGATCTAGTGTTGTTAATGACTATATTAACTATCAAAAGATAAACATGAAATAAATGAATAAGAAATTTATCTCACAGTATTCTTTGCCAGTGCTTGACCTAAATACCGTGCTCCTTCATTTCCAATAGGATTATTAGACAAATTTAACGTCACAAGTGTCTATATTGAATAGGAATTGTCAGTATGCAAGAAATACTTATAGATATGATCTTTTACTGTATTATTTTGTAAAGCATTAGCAAGATGTCGTACGCCTTCGCCGTCAATTTTATTGTGTTGAATAGCTAATGTTGTAAGTGCCTATATTGAATAAGAATGTTTACAAGTTGAAAGTAATGAGAATAAAATTTCTCTAACCCGATTATTTTGTAATGCATTTGCTAAATATTGTAGTCCTTCAGAGCAAATATGGTTCGAACAAAGACTCAGAGTGGTGAGACACTGTAATAAATAAAACTAATTCATAGAATATAGAATGATAGAAATTAGATATACTTGATTTTTTTCTAATCCATTCGCGAAAGATCTTGCACCTCGAGAATCAAATTCATTAGATTCAAATATTAGCTCTAATAATCCCTGTATTAATTAATATAAAGAAACAAAATATGTTAATAGATAATTTATCTTACAGTGTTCATTGCTAAACCACTAGCTAGATATTTTATTCCATTAGGATGAATTGGATTGCCCATATAAGTCAATTTTTTTAGTGTCTGTATTAATTAGTAAAGATAAATATCCTAAAAATGTTGTTATCTTGTCTTACATTATTGTATTGTAATATATTACCTAGTTGTACTGCTCCTTCACCGTCTAATGCGTTGCAAATTAGTGTCAATTCTGATAATGTCTATATTGAATATTAAATATGTACATAATATTTGTGGAAATCTCTTCTTTACTTTATTATGTTGTAACGCATTTGCTAGAGAATCTAAACCACATTCACCGATTGGATTATGTGCTAGACTCAGTTTCATAAGTCCCTTTGTGAATGATAGTAACACATGTCAGATAGTTTATTAGAATATTTGTCTCACTGTATTTTTTTTTAATACTTCTGCCAGATATTGCATTGCATTGAAGTCAATACGGGCAGATGCCAAACGTAATCCTGTGATTGTCTTTATCGAAATGAGAAAGATAAATATGATATAAATTGATTGAAAAAAAACATATCTCACAGTATTAGTTTGTAATGCATTGCATAAGCGTTGCAATTTTTGACCACTAAAATCTTGACTGGAAAGATCCAAGTTGGTGAATGTCTATAAGCAATACAGTATAACTTATTTCTTCTATCTGATATAACATATTCTGAATGTTGTTGATAGAATAAAGAAAGTGTTTAATATACCACAGAGATACGCAATATTCTGATGATATGTAAGTAATTTGAAAGTGAAAATGTAACTGACCTGATATCGATGGTAAGTATCGATGATAGTATTGAGTCTAGTACAAACGTTCCAAAACGATAAAAGAAGTGTTGGTATTTCTAGGTGGTCAAGAATTCGATAGACAATTTCGATAGGAAGTCCGGATAGATTTAGTATATTTTTGTTAGACATTGATGTTTTTTTCTTTTGAAAACGTATGCTTTTTACATTTGTGTGTTTCTATGTTAAGAAGTTTTTATTTTTCAGGTGAATGTTATTGTTGATCACGTGCCTTTAAAAGCTTTCACGTGATTGTGCAATATGTTAATTCCTTGCAGAACGCAAAAGTTTGATGTAGAAAATAAAATACAAAGGTTTGCTGAGGTACCCATCGATTACAAAACGTACAGTTCATTCTTTTATGTTTTTTCTTCATCTCTATACGAGAGAAATGTGAGCCAAGCAAACTACGAAGTATTTCGATTGTGATAAATTTCTAAAATCTGTCAAAATTCGACAAAGCATTATTTTTTCAGACAAAAATAAATAATTAACCAGATTTTTTCCCATTCACTTCTTTCAATTTTTAAAGTTGAATATTTAATTCATTAATTTTACCTTCAATATTTTCAACGACATCTCACGATATTTTATGGTGTACTCCTCTACCAATAAAAAAATTATCTTGTTCTTTTCTCTCTAGGTCGTTACATGCGTAAACGTAATTGCACAACACACATGCAAGAAAAAAAAGAGAAAGATCAGTATATATATTTTCAAAATTTCTTTCAGTATTAATATGTTATATATATAATTATTATTCATAATGGTTCCTTCTTTGAAAAAACAATCAACTTTAAAACGTGTAAAAAGACATGTACCTTATGGTAAACTCTTAGTTCCTGCTCTTCAATATTGGAATCCAGAAAACGACACAAAGAAAGCAACAAGTGTGTTATGCATCATTAACTGGATACAACGATTTGGCAAGTGTGGAACAGGACCTTATAGAAAATATGGTAAAAAATGCATAAGAAGAGCTTTGGCAATGGCTGTGACATCTGGTTTACTCAAACAAATCAGAGGATCTTTTGTTCTGACAAGACGATTTCAAAAGGAACAGCAAAAGAAAAACAAGAAATAGATAATGGGCACGTCATCAAGGATAGTCGGATGTAAATAAAAAGTTATTGTTTAATATTTTATGTCTTTGTTTTAAATAAAAATAAATTGGGCGAGTAGACTTGTTCTCACCCTCAAAGAGGCAATATTAGGGTGTGGATGTGCTTGTAGTACTCGATTAATAAACCATCAAAACCCACACCTACACGCACACCCTCAATTTTTATTATGAATCTTTGATATAACAGTTCTTTTCTCTTTTCAGTTTTGAACAGTTCTCATATTTTATTAAATCGAAAAAATAAAAAATATTTCATTATTTTCGTTGAACAAATATATTTAAGTAGAATTTATTACACACAAAATCTTTTTTCCGAATAATTTTTACTTCAATTCAAATAGAAAAATATTTTCTTTTCTGCTAACAAATCTCAATAAAAGATGAAGAATTTAATATTTGTTTATTCGAATTTTTAAATCAAAACTATCAAATTAAATTCAATTTTGAAGAAAAGAAAACTAAAACGATTTTTCTCCAAATTTTATTTTTTCTGTTATTTTTATTTCTCGGCGTTTTTATTAAACAAAAAACTTCTTTTCTTTTTTCTAAAATTAAAATTTCATTCACTGAATTATTTGAAATTTGTCAATTCGATGATTTCCCAACTCAGCAACATAAAGACTTCCTTCATCATCAAATGATAAACCAAAAGGATGATTCAATTGATATGTTTCATTTCCTTCACCATTTCCACCAACAACAATTTCACCTTTTTCTTTTCCTTCACACCAACGAACTACTCGATGATTCCAGCAATCTGCTACATATATTTGACCCAAACCATCAACGATTACTCCTTGAGGATAAAACAATTGATCGAGATTTTTTCCTAGACCATTTCCTCCAGCCACAACTGTTCCTTCTTTTGCATCTTTTCTCCATTTCATCACACGATTATTTTCTCTATCTGATACATAAACAGATTGATCTTCATCAACAAAGATAAAACCTGGACAATTAAGTTGATTAACTTGATTGCCTTGTCCATTTCCACCTGCCACTACAATTCCTTCATTGTTATATTCTCCCATTTTCCATCGTTTCACTTCATTTTTCTTATAATCAGAAACATAAAGAAATCCATTTTTATCCATTGTCAAGCCAAAACAGTCAATATTCTCAATGAGAATTTGTTGCTTTCCATTCAACCATTGAATCACTCGTCTATTCTCATAATCGGCAATGACAATCGAATGATTTTGTTGATCAACAACTACATCTGTTGGACAATTCAATTGGTGTATGGAATTTCCTTGCCCATTTCCACCTGCGACGGTTTGTCCTTTCTTTGCATTATATTTCCATTGAACAACACGATGATTATCATGATCAACAATGAAAATATTTTTCTTTTCATCAATAAAAATTCCATAAGGGAAATTGAGTTGATTTAATTTCTGTCCATTTCCATTTCCAGCAGCAACAGTAGTGGCATTTTGTTCCCATTTGTCCCATTTTGGTTCTAGAAACGATTAGATTTTAATGAAACTTTGACATAGAAAATAAGAATTATTCTTTTAGAAATTATTTCTTAAAAACTAACTTTTTGATATTGTAATTGAAATTTCATTAATAAATGATTGGGAATTTTGTTGAATGGATATATTTGATGGATTATTTAATATTTCTGTAATTTCTGTTAACTGCTTTTTTAAATAATTTAAATTAATTTCATTAAACTCATCATCTTGACGAATTTGTTTTATTTGTTCGGATAAATCATTGAATTTCATTTCGATATCATTAAAAAATGTTGCTAAATGTTCAATAACAATTTCCCTACAGTTTTGTGCTTTTCGTCGAATTATTTCGATTGAATTTACTTCCCATCCATTGATTTGTTCTATTAATGAATGATTTTGTTTCTGCTCATTAATTATTTCTTTAAATTGATCATAATCATTAGCAATATTATTTAATTCATCATTCAATATTTGTTTATGTTCTGTTAAATCCATTAAACAAAATCTTTGTGAACATCCTTCACAAGGATATGTTATTTTGTCTTTATTACATTTGAAACATTGTGTTTTGTTATTTGCCATTGCCATGTCTTTGAATAGAAGTTTATAGGGAAGTTCAATCAGTCAATGTCAATGAAAGAATATTCTAATGTAAATTTTCATCTAGGTAAAGATTAAACATAGATCTGCATCTACAACTGTATCCCCCTATATGACTGATATATCAATCTCTTATCCACTCAATTTATTTCAAAAGACAAACTTACTACAATGAAACGATTGAATTTCTAAACTTGTGATGTTTTGTAATTACTTTGATATAAATAAGAATTTGGTAGGTCTCACTTTGAATTTGTTTTTTATCGATTAATTTCTTCTAACTGTTTTGTGGGTTCTTTTCTCAACTATACATCTGATTTCAAATGAAGAAGAAAAACAAAAAAAAATTCTTTCTTTTTGATCAAATGGATTTTTATTGTTTCATAATGAGACAACATTAAAAAAACGGAAAAGTAAATAGAATGAAGAAAAATAACATTTTCGAAAATTGAAAATAATCTCAACGTGCTGTGCATTTTTTTTCTATATTTTGTTCTTCTCTACGTTTAATATTATTTCACTTTTTTTATTGCGCTTGCGTTTCTCCTTTTCTGACTGAACAACTTCTGTTTCGATTAAAAAGAAAATAAAGAAAAAGAAAAAAATCTGAATAATCATTCAAATCGAATAGAAATTGCCATTCACTATCAACATTTGTCCTTTTCTTTCATCAAAAACCAGGTAAACATGTTCAATGTAATTCTATTGGTTTTTATTTAGTAGTTTCAATTTTTTTGAAAGATTTTGAAATGATATCACGTGTTAATTTTGAGGAAGAAACTGTCAATGATGAAAATTTCACTTCTTCATTAATTGATTTAAAAGAAAATTATCAGTTAGTGTGGCTGGATACAGACGCTAAGAACGATACTGATGAATCGATCTTTGCATTCAGACTTCTTCAAAGTACTGTCGATCTCATAAGAAGACTTGATAATTTACAAGAATGTATATCATACGTTGAAAAGGCAGAAGAGATAACAACGTTTGTTGTCTGCTCAGGTACTTTAGGAATAGATCTAGTACCAACTATTCATGATCGGAAAAGTATTTGGGTAATTTATGTTTATTGTTATGACGTTGATTCTCATAAGCTATGGATCTGCCTTTATTCAGAAGCAAGTTTTTATTTTAAACTAGAAAATAGAAACATCAATCTGTCTATATTTTTAGATTAAAACTGTACGTACAAGTCTCAAGTATTCACTAAAAGATTTAATATATAATATACAAGAGTATAACCAGTACGAAAAGGAGGCTGAAAATGGTAATGGTATATTGAATTTTATTAGACAACATCAAATAATAACAGATATAGCCGGTTCAGTTTGGTCACGATTTATCAATATATTATGTCATTTACCATATCCGACGGATGCATGCACTCAGTTTGTTAATAATTTAAAGAAGTATTACAAGACCAATACTGCAAAACTTCGAGAAATTGAAGACTTCGGGTGAGTGTGTGAGTGTTTTACTCTTCCCGAGCCCACAGTCACACCCACACCCACCCTCAAGGTGACACTCTGGTCACAATCTCATTAATGTATTCACATATCGAAAAAAACTCATGATCTGGGCTTTCGTTTATCATAACCAGTAAAAGATAAACAAAAGTCAAATTCTCATCACTCATTTACATGTGGGTCTCAGTGGATCCGAATAATACTTTTATTTGATAAAATATTATTGTATTAAAACCAGTGGATATCATGATATTCATCCTTTGCAACGACATCTCTGTTCTTTGGAGACATTGTGCTGTTCTGGTGTTTCTTCAGTTTAAGCGTCATACCATTTCGCTGTTTGGCAGTATGCCTTGCTTGTCTTATACGTTTGTAAACTAGTATACTAGCTGCCGTAATCGTGACAATGTTGATGCCACACATGAGCGAAAAGTAAGGTCCCGTACCCATTACATTATGAAGAGGAACGCCAACAGTTACAAGAGCACCTGCTGCACATAAGTTGAGAAAAGTATTAGCAGCAGATACTGCTGATGCTGCTTCCTGTTTTTTAATTGTCAAATAAGCGGAGACAGCTGGCTCGAGAATAGATTGACCAAAGCTAAGCAAAACTTGACCAATGATTGGTACAGACACATGAAGCTTGTAGTGGAATGCCCATCCATAAATAATTAATCCAGTTGGACTCAGTATAGACAAGGCTAGACTTGGTACAAGACGTCCTTCAGGACATTCGTTATCTCCATAATATTTTCCAGCCTTGTCCGATAATCGTCCACCAAGAAGACTAGCTGTGAACATGGCTACTCCACTCGGTACGAAGAGTATACCAATAATTGTTTCTGTGTAGCCATAGGGAGTCTCATACAGATAAATAGGAAATAAAACATAACTGGTATATAGAGTGGCAAACGTCGTCGTCGATACAGCGATGTAAGGCAATATTGTTGAATCAGTCAGATAAGTTAGTGATTTCCAAGGCTTTTTAAATGGAAGTAGTTCGCTCGACTCAGTCTCGATTATGCGTTTATCGGGGTTCGCTTTATGAAAACGCTTTTTCACAAAATAATGATGAGTTTCAGGCACCAAGAAAAGTATTACGACGAGAATCAAAAATGAGAAGATTGTCAAAAAGATGAAGGTACTACGCCAACCAAATGCACGTGAAAGTGGGCCACCGATCAAAGGACCAAGCACAGGGCCAATGTTAAAGGGCAGAAAAAAGAACCCGGCTGCTGATCCTCGCTTCTCTTCTGGATATATGTCGGCCACTTGGCCCTGACCTACCACTAACGTTGATGACGCAGTACCACCTTCAATGGCGCGAAATACGATGAGAATGACAATGTTAGGAGAAAATATGCATACTATTGACGCGGCCATAAAGATAATCAGTGCTACAATCATCGTAATCTTCCGGCCGAATCTATCCGATACTGATCCCCAAACAAGACCGAGAAAGCCGCTTGTGACTAAGTAGATAGACACGCTGGCTGCCACGAGTGTGTCAGATGTCTTCAAGTCGTCACTGATAGCGTTGAGAGCAGGTACGTATATGGTATCACAAAATGGTAGTAGAAGAGCGATTATCGAAAGAGTCGCAAGTGTTAGATTACGTCGCAGACTAGTTCTTACATTATAAATAGAAACTTCTTCAACTGGAATAGACAACGGTGCTTGTAGAATTATTGATGTGCGCTGAGACTCATTTGTAACAGACATCAATGATTGACAAATAGTGAATGGATATGTTTTGTTTACTTCGTTGTTGTTAGTATTATGAGTACTTTCATCTTGTAAATCGATATTGGTCCGGACTGCGGATCGATGATGAACACTGATATTCTCGTCGTTTATATCCATCTATAGCTATAACAAATCCTCAAGCATATTTTTCTATATATGTTCGGGGTCACGGCTTTCATGTTCGTACTCATCCAGAAAGAGAAGGGTGTGGGTGTGAAATGAATATAATGTACACACTCGTGCCAACATCCTGGTGAATAAAAATAAAAATGTATTTATTGCTGCTAAAGAAAACTAAAATTTTAATTTCTTCTAGGAGTAGACTAAAATTTTAGTTTTCCCTGTACTATATGTATATATGCATGCGTTTGTTTTTCTCTTACACGGACGAAAGAGACGAAAGGAAAGATAAGACTCTATTGTGAAGCATAATTAAAGAAACGTGCGATAAGTATTCATCTATGTATATTTCATCATATTGTGCATGAAATACACGGTTGATCGATTCATGTAAGTAAAAATTACTTGCAAAAAAAATCCGCTAAATTATCGAATATAAATACGTAAGGTAGCTTGCTTCGAAAGTGCACAAAACTAACGTCAATACATTCTACTGTTAATTTTCATCGTAAGTATACCTAATTATCTACACATTGATTTTTCCATGTAATGCGTCATTTCAGACGTGAATTTTTACTTTAGAATTTGAAACAGATGTTTAATACATGACAAAATTGTTCGATATTTTTTATTATATGTATATATTCTATATAAGATATTTGTTTCGATTAAAACAAAAAATAGAAGCTTTGAACCTCGTTACTAAGAGTCGACGAGCGTAGTATTTAGTTCTAGTGTGAACGTTTATAAACGATATAAATCTTGCTCACCAAGTTGAGAGTATGCCTAAGACCTATGAAACATCTGTATATTACTTAAGAAATCGAAACACGATTTGAGTATGTTAGTATGTAAGACATCTATAGTAGTGTATATGCAGAAACTTTCAGAACTAGAAGTATTTGTGGCGGTCAAAATTGATCGTACATCAGATAAAACATCATAGCTTTCGAATATTTCACGATAAATTCAATACATATAGCTGCGATTTTCATCAAATAGTAGCCCAATTTTTATAGTTTAAGTGCTCAAAATATTACCTTCTTAAGCCATATACTTACTGTACTAGATTATAAATACTAAAAATGATATGCTTTGATTTTGCTCGAAATTGATTACATACTTCAAGCGAAAATAGATGAAAATCGTATGATTGAAAATATCCAACTCTAATATTATAAACAAAAAATATTCTAGAAATATCTTTAAAATTTTTTATATACTCTTTAGTTGAAACATCTTTAAAGCACGTTTTACCGTTTAAAATGATAAAATGATATCTGTTCTACCATACGATTTTCATCTACTTTTGCATGAAGTGTACAATTGATTTTGAGTAAAATCAAAGCATGTCATTTTTAGTATTTCTAATCTAAGACAGCAAGTATATCACCTAGAGGAATGATATTTTCAGCGCATAAGCTATGAAAACTGGGTTACTGTTTGATGATAGCCGCGCGCCGAATATATTGAATCTATCATAACATATCCGAAAACCTCAGTGATTTATCAAGTGCCTGATCAACTTTGAGCTCTCCTGTGTCAACAACCCGCTCATTAATGTTTTTCTAGTCGAAATGTAAATGTATCTCAATGATATTTAGAAAGATATTCCAATATGACTCATTTTAACGAAGCATTGTCAAAACTACGTGATGCACTGAATGGTCGACAACTCCCAGATCTTGAATCTGACTATTACGCCCGGGCGCATGCGCTCTATGAGTCGCACAGTAATCAGCGCTCTCTCATTGTTGATTGGTGGCGTAAGTGGACTGCTACGCATAACAAAGATTCGTTGATGCCACGATCAGTTCTTTCTATTGGTTGTGGAGATGGCTCACTCGATGCACAGTTATATAAATGTTTATTAGAAAAAACAAGCGATCAATCGTCAATTCGCTACGTTGGTATAGAGCCACACATTGACAGCGCTCAAAAATGTCGACATCAATTTGAATCTATTGGTTGTCTGAACAGCCAAGTGATCAATAATGAATGGCCAAAATGTTCCTCAGATCTTAGTGGTCAACAATTTGACACCATTCTTTGTGTACACTCTTTTTACCATGTGAATAATGTGGATGAATCCTTGAAAGAGGCACTACACTTGCTCAAGCCACAAGGGCAGCTCATCATAATTATGGTAAACTTTCTTATTATCTTAAGCTGAGATTTTTCTATAAATTATAGGAGCCTCTTGTCGGTCTCAATGAGTTGGGTCGCATCCTCGCACCGCCACAGCATGATTCCTTTACGCCCTTGTGGTGGGCTGAGACAGTGGAATCAGCAGTACATGCGAGTGGGTGCCGCGTCATACATGATTCCGTATTGACTGCTCGAATGGATTTGTCATTATGTCGCGACGAGACAAGTTGGGAGGGGAAAGCTATACTTGACTTTATTGTGTTTGGACACCTCCTAGATAACTTACGTGACTATGTGCTCAATGTGCTCGTCGAATTGATGCAAAAAGAGCAAAAGAATGTACCAAATGGAAGTTTTATTGTTGATCATCTAGCACATGTGTGGGTGTTACAACAAGCTGATTTGCCAAAACAGCAATGATATTAAAACTGAGCTTGGCATATCGACTAAATTTTAACTCTCATATTTACTTTTTAATCCTTCAATCATTCATGTAACAAAACGCTATCGATTAGAAGAGCATACTAGTGTGTGGGTGTGAGTATGAATAAAATGGTATACCCACATCCGCACCCTTCTTTTCTTCTCCTCGTTTTGGGTTTTATTTTTCTTCTCTTTTATTCTTCAACCGCTTATCAATTGTTCTTTCTCAACTACGCACTATAATCGAGTTGTTGCATTCAGAAGATTAGCTTCTAGTGAGCTGATACTTCTTTTTTAACTCATCTCTTTCGCTTGAAGTTTATACAATAATATATAGTTTAAACATGCTCATCTTTAATTGTTGGAAGCGCTTCTGAACGGAGCAACAAATAAACTCTTGCATCATAAAAAAACAGAATTGTTTCGAGGTATTTGTAAAAGACGCGAAGACCCGCGAAGACAACCAAATCGGAAAATGATATTACTAGTGAATAGAGCTCTGTGAGTTGACTCCATGAAGATCCACGAAGACCGAAAATAGTTGAAAATAAAAATAATTTTCTAGTACACATTGATTCTTTCAATCTACGAAGACCCACGAAGACCCATATCTTTCGCTGGTGATATAGAGCTACGCCAGTTGTATACAACCCGAAAATTTTAGCTTCTTATATACTTGCTTTAAGAAAATAACAGGGACCATACTTTCTGATTTACTGAGGGTAGGAAGACCCATGAAGACCCATGTTTTGCTGATTAGATTGAGCTACTCGAGTTGTACATATCCTGAAAATTTCAGCTCTCTACATACTTCCTGAAAGAAAATAGCAAGGACCACACCTTCTCAGTTACCAGAGGTTACACTATAAAATGAACAAGGCTTACTCTGTAAGCCATTATAATAGAGAAAATGTGGTCCCTGTTATTTTCTTAAAGCAAGTATATAAAAAGCTAAAATTTTCAGGGTGTATACAACTCGAGTAGCTCTATCTAACTAGCGAAAGATATGGGTCTTCGTGGGTCTTCGTGGATTGAAAAAATCAATGTGTACTGGAAATTTTTTTTTCTTTTTCAACCATTTTGGGTCTTCGTGGATCTTCGTAGAGTCAGCCCACAGAACTCTATTTATTAGCAATATCAGTTTCCGATTTGGGGATCTTCGTGGGTCTTCGTTGGTCATCGCGTCTTTTACAAATACCCATAATTGTTTATCCTGCTAACAAAAATTCGTTTGATTGAGACTGAAAATTTTGATAATCTGAATTTCTGCATACAATCCGATACTTATATATAACGGTATCAATGAAGATACAAGTTTGGTTTGATTTATAATGGCGCTTTGAATGTTCACAAAATCGAAATAAAGTACGTTTTCAATATTGTTGTCTATTGTAAATCAATACCCGAGCACCTCGATTAGTTAATTACTTTCCATTCGATATGAGATTTCATATCGTGAATGATATAAAATATGTTAGTCGAATTTTGAACAAAAAACTAATTAAAAGCGCCAACAATAAAAGCTGTCTCTCTGTAATTTAGCGAACTCTGCAAATTATAGTAAATAAAACAAAACTTCAGAAAGTTTATATCCAACGGACTCTATTTTAAGCTCATGGAGATATTTAATATTAATCTAAGTCTGAATAAATTTTGAGCTTTAAATTAATATTTATGCTCATGTTTGTAAATGAGAAGCTCCGACATGAGTGCTATAAAAATACATGTCAACAAAACATAAACTCAAATGAGAAAACAAAGCAATGAAGAAGAAAAATATAGCATGGGTGTGGATGTGGGCATAAGTTGAAATTCATCTTTTTTTCACCTGCATCTATACCCACACCCTCAGCGAAATAAAAAAGTGAAATAATATCAAACGTAGAGAAGAACAAAACATAGAAAAAAAACGCAGAGCATGTTGAAAGTATTTACAACTTTCGAGAATGTTTTTTTTCTTCATTCTATTTACTTTTAGGCTTTCTCAATGTTGTCCCATTATGAAACACTAAAAATCCATTTGATCAAAAAGAAAAAAAATGTTTTTTGTTATTCTTCTTCATTTGAAATCAGATGTATAGTTGAGAAAAAACCCACAAAACAGTTAGAAAAAACCAATCGATAAAAAACAAATTCAAAGTGAGACATACGAAATTCTCATTTGTATTAAAGTAATTACAAAACATCACAAATTTTAAAATTCAATTGTTTCATTTAAGTAAGTTAAGTTTTTGAAATAATATCAAAAATGAGCAAAAAGAATATCACATAATAATTGTTTTGAGAAGAAGACTGATCTATCTGGAGGATAAGGTTGTGGGTGCAGATCTTTGTTCTATCTTTATCTATATGAAAATTTGCATTAGAATACTCTTTCATTGATATTGACTGATTGAATTTATCTATAAATTTTTATTCAAAGACATGGCAATGGCAAATAACGAAACACAATGTTTTGAAGGTAATAAAGACAAAAAAAACATCTCCTTGTGAGGAATGTTCAAAAGGATTTTGTTTATTTCATTTAACAGAACATCAACAAAACTTAAATGAAGAATTAAATCATATTATTAATGATTATGATGAATTTAAACAAATAATGAATGAACAAAAACAAAATCCACTAAATCACTCATTAATAAAACAAATTAGTCAATGGGAAATAAAATCAATTCAAAGAATTCAAAAAAAAGCACAAGACTGTAGAGACATTCTCATTCAAAATTCACAAACATTCCTCAATGATATTGAAATGAAATTTAATGATTTATCTGAACGAATAAAACAAATTCGTCAAGAAAATGAATTTAATGAAATTAGTTTAAATTATTTAAGAAATCAATTAAAAGCAATGACACAAGAGTTTAATAATCCATCAAATATTTCAATTCAACACAATTCCCAATCATTTATTAATGAAATTTCAATTACAATATCAAAAAGTAAGTTTTTAAGAAATTATTTCTAGAAGGATAATTCTCATTATCTATAATATTGCGTTAAAAAACTAAAAACAAAGAAAAATGATAACGAAGAAGAGAAAAACAAAATTGTATTATTTTCACGTTTTTATTTAACAAAACATAAATCATCAAAATCATTTATTTTCATTTTATACTAGAATCAAAGTTCAATAAGGAGAAACAAAATGCAATCACTGTGGCTGCTGGAAAAAGAAAAGGACGGAAATTAAATCAACTCAATTTCCCTTATGGAATCTTTATTGATGAAGAGAAAAACATTTTTATTGCTGATCATGATAATCATCGTATAGTTAAATGGAAATATTTTGCAAGAGAAGGACAAATCATTGCAGGTGAAAATGGACAAGGAAGTCGAATGAACCAGTTGAATAACCCAACAGATGTGGTTGTTGATCAACAAAATCATTCAATCGTCATTGCTGACTCAGGGAACAAGCGAGTAATTCAATGGTTGAATCAAAATCATCAAATTCTCATTGAGAATATTGACTGTTTTGGTTTGGCAATAGATAAATATGGATTTCTTTATGTTTCTGATTATAAGAAAAATGAAGTAAGACGATGGAAAATGGGAGAATATAACAATGAAGGAATTGTAGTGGCAGGTGGAAATGGACAAGGCAATCAAGTTAATCAACTCAATTGTCCTACTTTCATCCTTATTGATGAAGATCAATCTGTTTATGTATCGGATCACAACAATCATCGTGTAATGAAATAGAGGAAAGATGTAGAAGAAGGGAGAATTGTAGCTGGAGGAAATGGTCAAGGAAGAAACCTTAATCAATTGTCTTTACCTCAAGGAGTAATTGTTGATTATTTGGGTCAAATCTATGTAGCAGATTGTGAAAATCATCGAGTAATGCGTTGGTGTGAAGGAAAAGTAGAAGGCGAAATTGTTGTTGGTGGAAATGGTAAAGGAAATAAATCAAACCAATTGAATCTTCCCTTTGGTTTATCTTTTGATGATGAAGGAAATCTTTATGTTGCTGAGTTGGGAAATCATCGAATTAAAAAATCTCAAATATTTTGTGAATGAAATTTTAATTTTGAGAAAAAAGAAAACAAAGCTTTTATTAAATAAATAATCGAGAAATAAAAGTAAAAAGTGAAGTTTTATTGTTCAAAATCAATGAAAAAATCGAAGAAAATTTTGAAGAAACGGAAATACTTTGATAAAAAAAGAACGAAGACAAACGTTTAAGAGAAGCATAACAAAGTGCTATGGTACCCACCTTTCAGGTAACGTTTGCTATACAAAAAATTGTTTACCGAATAAAATACAATCATTTTTTGCCAGACTTTCAATAGTAGCTAGTGTCCACAAAACAAATGATTTTTGTATGATGACTTTCTTATTGGAAATAACTTTGCATCATTTATTGCCCTTAGAATATTCAAAGAATTGATCAGAAGATGATACTTTTATTGTTTTAATTTGATTAATATGATAATATTTGTTCGACTACTCTTAAATTAAGTTTTCAATAATTGTGGGGAGTGGGCGATAGTTTCTTGATTACCCACATACACCGTCACCTCACGTACCCATTTTTATCCACACCCTGCTGTTCTTCTCTTCAATAAATGTTTATTTTTGCCTAGTCAGAATTGAAAATTCAATTTCGACTAGTCAAATTTGATTGAATTTTAATTTTGACTACAACATATATATATGAATATTGAACAAGATTTTCTCTCAGTAATGCCAACAAGCAAGATGATATTGGAATCATTATCCAATGAGTTATTTATTGAATTATTCGCATTATTTGATGTAGTTGACCTCTTTCGTGCTTTTTATGGGCTGAACACTCGCTTTAATTCTTTATTAATTCATCTTCGACGGTATCGTATCGATTTTCGTTCAATATTTAAAGGAGATTTCTGTCGAACATATCTTCCACTTATAATAAATCGAACAATTTATCTTCGATTCTTCGATAAGGAAGACGCGCCATATCAATGTGCTCATTTTCAATCTGCTGGTTTCACATTTGGCCAATTTGATAATCTTCGGTATTTAACATTGGAAAATATTAATTTGAGTTTACAGTTTAACCAATATTTCTTTTCCGATTTATATCATCTTCATAATTTGACACATCTGAAATTTATTGATTGCCGAATGCAAGGCATTTTTTTCGATGCTTTTCAAGATGTAATTGATCAAATTTGGAATTTACCGAAACTGACACATTGCTATTTTGATTTCTGCTTTTGTGGTATAAGTCATTTTTATATTCCTACTTCCGTATCAACATCGTTGCAATACTTAACAATTCTTGGTAATTGGTGGTATTCAAGTAAATTTGACGGTTTATTAAAGAAGACATCACAATTACGAACATTTGCCGTATCATTGCAAACCTTACAGGTAGATGAGATACCTTCTCTTTATGGATTTATTCCATCGTTTAAGAATCTATCTGTTAAAAGACTCATTCTATATAAAGTAGATACACAACGTCTAATGATTAATTTATTTCAATTATTACCCAATGTTAATCAACTGAAAGTTGAAATATTCTCTATAAAGTTAGATGGAAATCAATGGGAACAAATCATTGTTAATTATTTACCACAATTAAAAGTTTTCCAAATGAAAATGAATACTGATCTTTGTCCTTCAACTGATAATCAGAGAAACGAAGAAGAAATCGATCAATTTCTCGCGACATATCGTACACCATTTTGGATCGAACATCATCAATGGTTTATTCGATGTCATTGGGGAGTATCGATGGAGAATGTTCGTATGTGTGTTTATTCGTTACCTTATAAATTTGGTGATTCTCTTATTTACGATAAGGAACTATTGGATAAGACAAAATCAACTTGTCTAGGTGTATAAACCAATTGTTTTTCATTCATGATTTTATGTCTAATAAACTATTAAATAGAATTTAGATTTCATTTATTGTCAAATAAAATATTTTCTTATTTGTGAAAAAAA